GCCCAACAGCCCCTTCTGCACAGAAATCCTTCCTCAGAGCCAGCCTGACCCTGCCCTGGGCAGCTTGAGGCCATTCCCTCGGGGCCTGGCGCTGGGGCCTTGGCTCCAGAGACTCATCCCCCCTCTCTGCCCCCTCCTGGCAGGGAGTTGCAGAGGGCCAGGAGGTCTCCCCTCAGCCTCCTCTTCTCCAGACTGAACCCCCCCAGTTCCCCCAGCCGCTCCCCAGCAGACCTGTGCTCCAGACCCTGCCCCAGCTCCGTTGCCCTTCTCTGGCCACGCTCGAGTCATTCAATGGCCTTTTTGGGGTGAGGGGCCCAGAACTGAACCCACTCAGCGAGGGGCGGCCTCGATTAAAAACAATAAAATAAAATAGAAATAAGAAAACCCAATAGAATAAAGCTGACTTTAGGAAAGCTGTCTACTAATTCAGCATCAAGAACCACCCCACAACACTCGGCAAGAGGCGGGAGTGGGACAGTCAGCAGTGCCCCCACGAGAGGCACGTGGAGCTTTCAGCGACCCAGCAGCGGTGCTGTACGTACGTGGAGGCCAAACTCTGGGCAGAAGACACCCGAGGACGCCCACCCCGGCAGAGAGAGGACCTGTGCCCCTACCCAGGGTGGCCACATCCCCACGCTGGTTTTGTAACCAGGAACGGGGCAGCTCTGCAAACGGCTCTCGAGGGCACACGGACTCAGCATCCCCTCAAAGGCCACACGAAGCACCTACCAACAGCAGCACCCCCACCCCCGAGTGAAGCTGCCCTGGACTCGGTGAGATGTCAGGGCAGAGCTGAAAAACCCTCTCAGTCAAATTTAGCTGCTCTTACAAATGGGAGAAAGGCAGTTTGAGTGTTTTCATTCATCCCCAGCCCATCACGTTTTGGCAGGATCCTGTCTCGGGCTGCCGGAGCACAGACACGAATTGAGTTGCATATGTGATAAATCCCTAAACTGACTCAAATCTCAATTTAATATTCCTCACCACAAAGCAACCACTGCCAAAGACTGGTCCTGAGAGCTGGGCCGACCCCAAAGGCCGAGCCAAGGACCGTCCCAACACGCCATCGCGGTGTCAGACAGGACGTGGGTCTGGCAGTGGCCAACCCTTTGTTTGCAGCGATGGCCAACGCTTGTGCTGCACCTAACAGCAACCTTCAGCAAAGCTTAACGGCAAAGGAAGCCCTGAGCCTCCAGGCTGAGGGAAAGGAAGGATGGGGGGAGAGGAAGGACCTGGAGAGGGATTCCGGGCTCCCCTCTCCCTAGCAGAGAGTCCTGAGCAATCGTGCACGAGAGCTCCCCGAGATCCTCACCTCACACTTCAGCCCTGCAGGCGGACCGTTGTATTTCATCACAGTCCCCATCCAACATTTTAAAACCTCATTTTGGAACCCCAGAAAAGGGAATTCATTCAGCATTTCAATCCTGCGCAGAAAAATTTAACGTTGCTCTTCGGGCAGGTGGTTGAAATACCCTGTGCTGGGATTTACCACCAAAGCTCCAGGCAGATGCAGAGGAAATCTGAAGAGAAAGTCGAGCCTTGGTGATCCACCACCAGCTTCTGGCATCGTCTCCGGGAAGGTGAAGTGCTGAGGCTCGGACGGCAGGCCCAAGTGGATGGCCCGGCTTCAGATGAACCCTGTGTATTTTATAACCGATAACCGCTGTGCTAGCGGGTGTTGTGCTGAGTTATAACAACCCACTTACGTGCTGTAAAAAGTGCTAAAGCGTTGACTTGATGATCCCAAGGGTCTTTTCCAACCTGAAGGATTCTGTGAAATATTGAAGCCTCAACAACAAGCCCCGAGCTGAAGCTGGGAACTTCGCGTGTAGTTATTAACGAAATAACGTAAACTCCCTGGTGGAGGGTGCAGCTTAGGGAGAATATAATCAGCAGCGAGAATGAAATCCAGACAGAATGTACCCAGTCTCCTTTCCCAGCCTTGCCCAAGGCTGAAAACCCAAGTATTTGGTCTTGTTAGAAACTCCCCTGGTCTCCCCGGCCCCAAGCCCTGGCCAGGCTTTGGGTGGAATCCAGCAGGAGAACAAAACCAGATATTTTTCCCTCAAAACAAAGGTGCCAGCTATTGTGGGGGGCTGATTTTTGGTGTGTTAAGGCCGGACCCACTCGCAGCGACTTTGGATGCCTCGGCTACGGGGGGCTGCAGCGCGTGGGGCTCCCCCCTTGCTGGGAAAGGTTCCCCAAACCCTCGCTGTAACCGGGGCTGGGGGTGGGAACGGGTGCGGGGGGGTGGATCTGCCTCCATCACTGCTCGCTCTCTCTCATGTAGCAGCGATCTGATGCATCACCCTCGATTTCCCTATCCAAGTGCATTATTCTGCCTTTTCTCACTGCATGTTTCCTGTGTTACTCTGCCACGTTATTTAGTTATCCCCAGGAAAACACGCCTGCCCTTTTCCCTCTGGTGTCAGAGGTTAATTAGCATCCTTAATCAGCAAAACCGAAGGCTGGAGCAGCCGGAGCGAGGTGATGTTGCCTGTCCCACCGATGTGACAGGCAGTCCTCTCCAAGATGTGCCAGGAAGAGTGCTGGGGGCTGAACAACTCGCAGGGACGGCACGGAGCAGGGACTCGAGGAAGGTGAAAAGAGGTTCAGGAGTAAGGACCCGCTACTAAGCCCGTGGAAACAGCAGAACAGGGCTCCCCTAATGGCTGCAGTGGTCATGGCACAGAGCTCCCCTGAGATAAACCTGGCTTAGGGGATGAAGAGTCTTCTCCGACACCTCTCTGGGCACCTCAGTACATGAGGGATCTGGAGAGGCTGGAGCGAGGGCAGAGGAGGGCAACGAGGCTGGGGAAGGGCTGGAGAATCAATGCTGTGAGGAGCCAGGGAAGGAGCTGGGAGTGTTCAGGGTGAGGAGGAGGAGGCTGAGGGGAGCCCTCATCCCTCTCTGCAGCTCCTGACAGGACATTGCAGAGAGGCTGGGGCTGGGCTCTGCTCCCAGGGGATCAGGGACAGGACAAGAGGGAACGGCTGGAAACTGCCCCAGGGGAGGGTCAGGCTGGGCAGGAGGAGAAAATGTTTCCCAGCAAGAGTGGTGCGAGAGTGGAACAGGCTGCCCAGGGAGGGGGGAGTCCCCATCCCTGGGGGGGTTTCAGGGCCGTTGGGATGAGCTGTGGGGG